TGAGTCCTCAAAAGTTGCAGTTTTGAGTCCTTTAAAAAAATCAAGTGAAACATTAGCTGCGAGGTACAAATATGGTGCATCTCTGCTTTCACTCACCTCCTCCACTGGCAGTAACAAAGCATAGATTTTCACTTGGATTATAGCCTTTGGTTGACTACTAAGTAACTTTCTCAACAGACAGAAAATGCCAATGATCTCAGTGTCAAATGGCCAGATCTCAGCATCAAAAAGAAGAAAATAGTATTTGCCTTTCAAATATCATGCTTCCCAACATAATCTTGGGTAAAGCAGCTACAGATCTTATGGTCACTTCATAACATTTTTAGTACTGTCGTTATGAGGTAGGAAATAGTTTCTAAAGCTTAGAGGTGGAACCACCAGCTTTAATAATAAAAAAGGACCACACAACTAAAAGCCAGGATTGCTTTGTGGCATACATACAGCAGTTTGCACAGCTGTCAGCCAAGAGCTCCTCAGATGCCAAGGTCTGACATGGGGCCATTTTCTGGTCTACTCTTGCATTTTGATAATTCAAACTAAAGTGCCATTAGAGGGCAAATGTAGTATTAGTCACTAAGGTATTCAAAAGTAACTAATTCAGTAATTGAAATGGCAGTAAACTGTAAGTAAACAGGCATCAGTTTGCTTTATATTCTTTATTTAGCTTTTCAAATAACCCAAATTACTAGAGCTTCTCCTTTTTCTGAGAAAATACATCCTCCAAAATTGATCCTGTTTCCCAGTGGTCTAGAGACAGGGCTTTCTTTAAAACTTTGCATTACTCTTACCTCTGAGTGTGGGATACTGATGGCTGCTCTGTTCAGTTCATACCCGATACCGGTACCATAGTAAGCAAATGTTCTACACAAAGGCTCTGTTGAAAGTCTTTCGTTTCAAAAGCCTGTGTGTGGTTCAGCAATACACTGTTTTTGGTGAGATCAAAAATAGAGTCACACAGAAGCACTGATCTGATACAAATGCACCCAGAAATCTATGAATAGCAGGTTTTTTTATTCCAGAGCAGGTATCAACCATCCATGACACCTCCTTTCTCACAGATCAGCTACCTTTTGTTCTACTGCAGATAATATGAAGCCCAAGTAGCAGCCAGTGCAAACCCTGCATCATGCTTTCTTCCTATTTTTTGGTCAGACCTAATCTAGGTCACATCTGTTAGAAGCATGCATGCACAGATCCAGTATTAGTGCCTATGATACCAAGGTCCAGATGGATTGGTTTAAAAAATATTTGTAAGTACCATTATGTCTGGCTAGCAAAACTGAGCTTAGATTAATATTTATTTCTTAGAACTTCATTTTTATAATATTATGAGGTGTAGAGGTATTTTTTCTATCTATCAGCTGGGTATGAAATAGTAGAAGCTGACAGAGTATCCACTTTTCTTCCTCCTCCTGTCCCTCACCCTTGGTTGTCTTTTTAACATAGGTAGTTGGCTTGAATCTTCAAGGATCCTCAAGTAAATTTTGATCTGTTAAAATCAAACCTAAATGTTAGCTCATTTTGCTTTTTTTGAGTACTGTGCCAAAATGTATAAAGTCCTTCATGAACTATGACGCTGATGGGGTCTTAAAGAAATGTTTAAGTGGGAATCTTAATGAGCAGGCAGAGATTATATTGCTGAATGCTGGATCTGGAGTGAAGTGATTCAGCACAAATTCAGGAAAATTTTGATGAAAATTAATTGGAAATACCAGAAAAGTTCATAGAAAAATGTTAATGTGGCAAGATAATATTTTAAAATCACTTGTGTCATCTCATTAAATGATATTGAGTAAAAATGTTTGAAAATGATGGATCCTAAATAATATTGGATTGGAAAATTTTCACTTAACACAGAAGAACGTGTTAGCGTACACCCTGACAGGTAACAGCTTCCACAGGAATGTTTGGAACCAGCTGAATATTCATTTCTCACTACCAAGCTTTTCAATGGATTACTCCACACTTGGGTTTGTATTAAGTATACAATGTGTTTTCAATTATTCAACTACAGTCCAGTTTCTAACACAGAGCATATGCCCTGGCAAGATGTTTTTGTCTTTCTCAGGCATATGTTAGTTGTGAGATCTGGTCTCCGATTAATTTTCCACAAAAATGCTCCTGTCAAGAAGGTTTCTCAAATGCTGTTATTGTCACTGGAGAGTTTTACACAAATCCTTGTAAATGAAAGTTCATGACTATTTTTTTAATAAGGTTTAAAACCATGGTGATTTTTTTTTAAAACATTTCAGGGTTTTTTGCTTTACTTTTCTCTTGCCTAATACATTTAGTTTGATTTTTGGAATCCACCACTGCTCCCCAAAGGATTGAAGGGATGCTGGAAGACACTGACTCAACAAACCTGCTTTGGACTGTATTCATCCTCTTACGTAAGAAGCAGGGAGAGTTGAAACCTCAATCCAGTCCTGGTGGCTGGTGTTGATAATAAACCAATCCAAATCGGGGATTTAAGGAGCCATGAGATCTTTAAGAAAGTTCCTTGGGAGAACAGCGCTTTATGACTAACGTATTGATGGAACAAGGTGTTTTGCTCTCTGATTGCACTTTCTCTTCACGGTATGCTACTAATTGTTTTAAGGACCAAAATTATATTCTTAAGTAAGCTTTTTTTTTTTCCTCTCTTGCCTCTGCACGTACCTGCCCTAGCTTTATCTCAGTCTCAGACACTTGCCCTCTGTTTTGGGTGGAGGAGTGGAAGAGTATTTAGGTAACCTGTCATGAGCTTCTTTCCCCTTCATTCCTCTTGAAGTCCCTATTGCCTTTACCATTTTGCTGGCTTCAGTTCTTGTCATCTTGACTATAGTTTTGCTTCCCATACATATCTACTTCCACTCATGCAGAGGTTTTTTTCCATCTTTTATATCAAAAAAAGTCCACTTTCTTCTTTTAGCATTTTTACTGTAAATTTTTGTTACTTAACTACTTTCTTCTGAGGAGCAGCCAGTGTCTAGGAAACTTGCTACTTAATAGCCAACTTTTGTTCTCGCTTTGGAAGGTGTTGTAGGCTACATCTAATGTGCTGGGTAATACAACAGCACATTCACAATCACTGCTTCCTGGTCATTCCTTCTCTTTCAGACCAGAGCAGCTTAGTCAGAAAGACAATACTTTTGAATTAAAAAGGGGACTTGATCAGGGGCTGTATAGTAAATGCTTCACTGTTGGTGCAAGGTACTGCTACCCATCTTTCTAATCAGTGTCTTCAGTCCTGTAAACAGTGTGGCATTGGCTGGGAGATCAGGAGTGTCTCTGTGGAAGGAGAATAGATCTGAGGTACATCTTGGCTCTGATTACGTCTTCTGTCCTTTCTGGAATAAGAAAATCAAAGTGATTAGCCTTTTGAAACCGTACCTCCACACCCCTTATCTTGATGAGCAAGAGTACAGGGTAATTCTTTGTCTCACAGATTTCTGCCTGGTGCTGAGGCCCACTGTTGGCGATGACTGGTAGCAGTGGTGTAGTTCACGTTCTCAGAGTTTGTCACGAGAAAGTCCCTCATTCCTGCCAGTGACGTCTGGGCATTGCCTTAGTGCCAGTATCACTGGGACAAATCTTTGGCTGCTGCCAAGAGACATCTCAGTTCTGACATACAATACACAAGTTCTCACACATAATACATCAGTCCAGCAGCCATAGAGATGCCTGTTTATCTCTTTAGCCCCTTCCAGAAAGTAGTTTGTGCCAGTATTGTCAGCCTCAATGAAAGCTGTATCAATGGCTTATTGCAATATATTTAAACTATGAGATTTCTAGAGGAGCTAGCAGTCCAAGAAAATAAGAAGCCATCATAAAGCCTTAGTTACTTTGCATCTGTTATGTTAAAGTACTTGAGGCTGAACTTTATTGAAATTATACAGGTAAAAGCTAAAAAAATTGTGGTTTTTTTTTTTCCAACAGCAGAGATCTCAGACCAGAATGTTGTCTTTCTGCTATGACATTATGGAATAAACCACTACTAGGCTCTTGAAAGGAATATGAGCTGTCTAGTGAGCTCAGAAGGAACGCTTTTAAAAAAAAAATCTCACTTAAGTGCCAGTGTAGTCCTACTTAAGCTAGTACATTCCTACACATGTAGAGATAGTAATGCCAATGTGTGAACTGACATTTTATTTGCACTTTTTAAAGTGCAAATAATTTTTGTTTTTTAAAGTGTTACAGACGTGGTACAGTTGTGTATTATGTTACTAGAAGCTTCCACATTTCTGCCATCTTTCATGAGCAGTCATGCGATGTACTCTGATTGCTTTTTCTTCAAGCTCACTGTTTTATACTTTTCTCAACTGGGGCCTTGCTCTAGAATTGTTTTTATTCTTTTCGTTTGATAATAAAGGGGGTATTGCAAGCACTTGGGAATAAGCTTTTTAAAGGTACTTCCTCTCATGTTTCCTATTCCATATGATTGTACTTGATCTATCCAGTGGAAATTTGTGGGAGAGCCTCAGGAGAGAGTTATTTCATTTTTAAAAAGACTGAAAAGCTCTGATCCCCTGACTTCAAAGGCATTTGGGGCTACAACACTTAAAGGGAAAATTCCGACAACACCTGATACAATATCATTTTTGTTTTGACTGGCTTTTACTTTGTTCCACTGAATTTATTCCCCTTGAAATTTGTGGTCAGACTGAAGCACTAGCAGAGCAATTATCACCTTTAATTTTGTGTTTGTAAAGCTTCTAGCACTGCAAGACTGAGCTCAGTGGCAGACCTTAGGTGGTAGCACAGTACGATGATAAAATTAATGTAATTTCTTTTCGAGCATACTGTTGGTGTGTCTAGATGCAGTGATCCTCCTGCATGGATTGTAAGCCAGGTTAGCTTGTGCAGTCGTCACTTCCCTGCAGGAGCACTTACACAAATAGACCAGTGGTTCTCCCAGATGAAGAAATGTGCCGTGCTCTGCTGCCAGGTTGCTGGGGAGCTGCCAACCATGAACTACTACGGACATTGTACTAATAAAAGTCTGTTTACTTTTTGTACAGGGATCAGCTGGCTTACCTGGAGAAACTGGGCCATCTGGAAGCCTTGGTGAAAAGGTATAATAATGTATATGCCTACTGAGCAGCAAAAATCAGCTTTGGAAACCATTAGGGTGATAAAATATTGGTGAGAGATTGTTTACTGACTACTGATAAAGCTAATATTTGTGTAGCTATTTCAGAGCACGGGGATGTAATAAATGGTAACGCAAATGCTGTTATTTGAGGCAGCATCTGGTATCCTTGATTTTAATTAGCAATGAATTTAGAGCTGATAGATTTGATATCTTGTTCATATTATGGCACTTACTTTACTATCCACTACTACTGCTTCACAGAAACTGGCATAAATTACACTTGTTTTATACAGTAGTCACTGGGTTTGCACTGCTACATAATGAAGACAAGAGTAGAAAGGTAAAATTTGGCTGTATGCATTAACTGAGAAAAGAAAACACTGTTAGTTTTGTCTGCTGTGCAGTAACAGTTGCGTTTATGAAAGCAAAGTTTGGCAGACTTAATGTGACTAGAACAGTATAAATAGCTTAAGCATATTTGACATGGTTTTATTTAGGTGAAGTATTTTAAAACTGAAAAACAGGAAGCTATTACTGGACTGCATGTCTGCTTCAGTTATAATAAAAACATAATTGTCAGAATGATCCAGCACCATTTATATTTTGTCCCTGCAGGGCTGAATTATTTCACCTAGACTTGTGGCTGCTATTTAGATATTTTATTGAGAAAGTGTTAATAATGTATTAGAACTTCCATGAAAATCTGATTATAATTTATATAATCTATGAAAGGAAATACATCAGTGGAAAGCACTGCTTGTTAAAACTAAAATTTAGACGTCTCATATGGTTTTAATCATAATATCATCTTAGAACTCAGTGTCAAAGGATTCTTGTTCTTTATAATTACACTTGGCCCAACAAAGATTACCTTGGGATATTGCTGCTAGTTTAGCAAGGAGGGAAGAGGCAGTAAAAGGCTAATTAATCTATCAGCAAGTAGAAGCAAGCTTCTTCATCGTGCAATAATTGTTGTCATTGCTTTGCTGTTTCTGTAGAATTTATCATCTTCCTTTTTTTATGGATTAAACAGTAAAATGTAAGCATGTGATGTGAATTAAAATGATAAACATACTTTTAGCATAATTATTTTAAAGAAAAGTGCCTTTAACAGTATGCAACATAAAATATAGCATTAGCACTATGTCACAGGTACTATCTGCAATAAAAGTGTAATATTTGTATGGGGATAATCTACTGGCAATCCTGATGTTTGAGCTGGGTGTTATACAAATAAAAGGTGAGAAAGTATGTAAGACAAGAAAGAGACCCTTCCTGCTTCCCCCTACTCCAATTGCTTCTGCAGCTGCTGAAGGGCTGGTTCTTGCCTTTAGATCTGTGCTTGCCTTACACATTCTGAAGAAATGAGGGAGAGGGGAACAACATTTTCTTTTTTGCTTGTTTGTTGTGGTGAATTTTATGGATTAAAGAAGAACATAACTACAGATGTGATGCACCCAACAGAGAGAGAAGGGATCTGCTAGCTGCAGTTCGCAAAGACTGATGTAGTGAATCTCTTCTTCAGTCTTCTAGGAAACGGGAAGACAGAGAAATTCAGATTTATCATCTTTTCAAAATATGAGTGGGCTTGTAGGAAGAAGGAGTGCAGAAATTCAACAGAAGTAAAAAAGGCCCCTGCACTGTTTCTGAAGGACAGTCCCTGAACCAATGGTGTTATGCACTGCAAAAAGTTGTTCCCTTTAGCAACCAAGTCTCTTGTAGACTGTGGGCTACAACCCTCATGAAAGACCTCTTGGATTGCTCTGATATTGTTATTGCAGGTTAGCCTCATTTGCCAGATATGCCTGGCTCAATGGGCATGGAATAAGTCAGGGAAAGA